TAACAGTTATATCCTATATGAAGTACTTGGCAGATTAAAAATTATTTCAAACCCAATCTCATTTAGTCCTCATAAAATTCTGCTAGTTAAATATGTTTCTTCACTTTCAAAAAATTCTGAGAATCAGAGTGATTCAATGACTTACTGTGTTAATAAGGTTATAACTTCACATTTTTGGTTAACACAATAAAACATGATTTGTTGTTCACACAGAGAAGAAAATGATGTTGTTGCTAGTTGAATTGTGCTACTGATTGGCTCTCCTCCAAGTATTGACTTGGGATTCCAAACTCTTTCTACTTGAAATGCTGCTATTTTCAGCATGTTTTCTCTGATGTCATCATGAACAAGAAAGAGCACAGGCAAAAGTTATACTGCCTATTTAACTACCTCAGTGTGGAAGGGACACACTTCACTTCTGCCCACATTTTTTAGCCATGCTAGTTATGTGGTCCCATCTAGAAAAGAAGATTTATTATTATTATTTTTTTTTTTTGAGATGGTGTCTTACTCTGTCGCCCAGGCTGGAGTGCAGTGGCATGATCTGGGCTCACTGCAACCACCACCTCCTGGGTTCATGCAATTCTCCCACCTCAGCCTCCTGAGTAGCTGAGATTACAGGTTCATGCCACCATACCCGGTGAATTTTTGTGTTTTTAGCAGAGACGGGGTTTCACCGTGTTGGTCAGGATGGTCTTGAACTCCTCACCTTGTGATCTGCCTGCCTCGGCCTCCCAAAGTGCTGGGATTAGAGGCTTAAGCCACCACGCCTGGCCTATTATTTTTTAAATGTATCACTAGCTTGTTAGCTGCTTCCCAGGAAGAGCTCTCTCCTATAGAAGGAGCAGAATTGCTTAAATGTTACTGCATCATGGCCTAATTGATTGCTGGAGGTCATGTGAATGAGTTTACACCTGGGAATGTAATTGGTAATTAAGAGGACTATGCATTCTCTAGACTGTCTCACCCATCTTATCGCTGGAAGTAAGTAACAAAAATGGAGGAATAACAATATAGATGCAGAATTTTATTTGCAAGTGGGGAGATAATATGATAACAGAAATTGAAAAAAAATGATTATCTGTGCTATGCAATAGAAAAATAGTTGGTATACCTGCAGCATGTCAGAACAGACCAGCTGCGTCCAAAGCTTGTAGCTCTAGCAGAAGAGATGTTAGAAAATACAGTGTTGGTAATATGCATTGGCAACATTTAGTGAGGTAGCCAAATGGAAAGAATTGCAAAGAAAAAAATGGAATAATTGGACATTTTGCAAGAGAAAAAGAGTGAGACTGGAGAGCATTTTAGTTTACTATTGCTGCTGCAACGAATTACCACAAACTTCGTGGCCTAAAGTGACAAATTTTTTAATCTTCCAGTTCTGGGTGTCAGAGTCTGAAATGGGTTTCACCAGGCTAAAATCAAGGTGTCAGCAAAGCTGCAGTCCTTTGTGAGGGCTCTGGGGAGAATCTGTTTCCTTACTTTTTCCAACTTCTAGAGGCTGGTCCACATTTCTTGGCTAATGGCTCCATTTCATCTTAAAAGATGACAATAGCCAGTTGAGTCTTTTCCAATCAATTGTCCCAATATTGACTCTTCTGCCTTTCATTTTCAAGAATGATTATAAATGAAATTGTGATTAAATTGTCTCCACCCACAGAATCATGTGTCCTTTGTTAAAGTCTGCTGATGAACAATTTGAATTCTATGTAACCTTAATTCCCTTCTGCCATTATAACCTAACATAAGCCCAGGTTCCAAGGATGAGGTCACAGATTCTCGGGTGTAAAGAGAGGGCATTATTCTGCCAACCACAGAAGGTTACAAAATAATAATAACAATAATAAACTCAGAGACTTGCAGAGACGCAAAAGTGAACTTCTCTTCCAAACTCCAAACAAAAATAGGTGGTGATATGCTTTGGCTGTGTCCCCACCCAAATCTCACCTTGAATTGTAGCTCGCACAATTCCCACGTGTTGTGGGAAGGACCCAGTGGGAAGTAACTGAATTATGGGGAAAGGTCTTTCCCATGCTGTTCTCATGACAGTGAATAAGTCTCAAGAAATCTGATGGTTTTATAAAGGCCAGTTCCCCTATGCATGCTCTCTTGCCTTTCACCTTCTGTCATAATTGGGAGACATCCCCAGCCACGTGGAACTGTGAGTCCATTTAACTTCATTTTCTTTATAAATGACCCAGTCTCAGGTATGCCTTTATCAGCAGCATGAAAATGGACTAATACAGGTGGTTTTTAAAGCCTTCACCAATATCTTCCCAGAAAATATTTTTATTAACTTAAGCGCTTAAGGATAAAGATTCTGTTATGGGTGTGGTATCCAGTAAGCATCTCAGATGGATAGAGCATCTAGAGCAACGGAGAACAAAGGTCAAATTAAAGATGGAACCATCACACTAAAGCATTATATTTCCAAGTGAGTCTCCAGGATGTTCAGGGAAATGCACATGAGAGTGATAAAGGGAAAAATAGAAAACTTGATAATTATGTCTTTAAAAGACTTTGGAGTATACCTACTGGCACATAAGTGGAACCAAATAGATGAGAAGCCTACTAGGTCTTAATAACATACATGTTATTGCCAAAGAAACCTAGAGCTCAGCTAAAAAAGCCTTTGACTATTTAAGAACTAATATAACTCTTACATCTCAATCTTTCAGCACTGGGAAGTGAACTGAGAAGGCTGTGCTGTCCCAAGAAAACAGTAACCCCCAATACCCCTTTTATTATTTTTTTAACTCTTTTTTAGAGATGGGATCTCACTCTGTCACCCAGCTGGAGTCAGTGGTGGAACCACAGTTCACTGCAGCCAGGACCTCGTGAGCTCAAGCAATCCTCCTATTTCAACCTCCTGAGTAGCTGGAACTATAGGTGCATGCAACCACACCTGGCTCACAATGCCCATATCAGATGTAGCCCAGGAAGAAAAAAAAAAGAAGCTTCCAAAAAGACATTGATGTATGAACAAGAGAGTGCCTCCTAAAGGGTGTAATTAAGAAAATCCTCTAAAACCGAAGGTATGGAGCCTTCCCAATGCCTTTCCAGTAGAGATATCAAAATTGCTACATTTTTTTTTAAGGTTTAAATTTTTTGTAGAGAGACGTCTCACTATGTTGCCCAAGCTGGTCTCAAATTCCTAGCCTCCAGTGATCCTCCTGCCTCAACCTCCCAAAGTGCTGTGATTACAGGCATGAGCCATCGTGCCCAGCCAAACATTGCTGTGAATTATTGTGTGTTTCATATTTTTTGCCTTTCCAAATGGCTGCTAGATGTCCCTATTACATCATCATGTATTTTATAAGGGGGTGAGGAGCAGACAGATAAATTCCCTTTTAAATCACAGGTTTCTAGACCAGTAAGAGCCCTAAACAAAGTTGATGGAAAGGTTCTCATGTATCACCTGAAGATCTACATTCTGAGCTGGATGGAGGGCTTGGGTGACACTTTGGAGTCTCTCCTGTGGAGAGAATTTGAGTGTGGTCTCTACATTGGGAAAGGGAACAAATAAATATTAAGTAACCAAAAGTACAGATGGTGACAGAGACAATTAATACTGAAAATCCATGAATGCTCTTATATTTCTCAGCTTTCCCTGCAGTTGAATTGGGGCCACGAGGCCACATGCTCATCAGTGTATATTAAAGTGATGAATTACTTAAGACCAAGGCAATTAATAATTGTTGTGCCTCATGCTTCTCTCTCTTTTCTGGCTTTAGCAACTCTGAAAACTGTATGTTGACATAATATCACAGGATGGAGGGATATCCAGGATTCCTGAGCCACTAAACAGATAATAGATCCTATTGACACACACACTACACTTTAAATGACAGAGGAATTAACTTTGTTTTGATAATTCACTGAAATTTTATGATGCGTTACTGTAGCATAGCCTAAGCTACCCTTTCTAATACAGGCATGTTTATTTTGAGATACCTGCTAGATATACAGCTGGAGACATCAAAGAAATAGTTGACTATACAAATGTGGATCTCAAGGGAAAAGACTGAGCTTAAGGCAACAGTTTATAAGTCATCATAATTTATAAATGGAAATTAAAGCTATTCAGAATTAGCTCTGATTAGATTTTTTAAAGGTACAAACAGATAAGAGGAACTAGAATCACAGAATATTAGCTTGCTTCATTTTTCTAACATCTGAATATATGACATATCATTTTTCCTATTATCAATGTGGCCCCATAACTTGTTCTTTGTTCCTGTGAGCTCAGATCCTGAATTGTCTGTGGGTAATGCCTGTGTCAGTGTCACCTGGCCTATTTCCTGGATGGGTAAAAGGATGTTTTTTTATTTTTTTATTTTTGTGAGACAGAGTCTCAATCCATGGCCCAGAGCTTGAGTGCAATAGTGCAATCTTGGCTCACTGCAACCTCTGCCTCCCAGGTTCAAGTGATTCTCCTGCTTCAGCCTCCTGAGTAGCTGAGATTACAGGCACCTGCCACCACACCTGGCTTACTTTGTATTTTTAGTAGAGATGGGGTTTCGTCATGTTGGTCAGTCTAGTCTTGAACTCTTGACCTCAGGTGATCCACCCACCCTGGCCTCCCAAAGGATTTTAAAATATAATAATGGTGATGATTCCTTACATATAAAATATAATCAGTGCAAACCTTCATCTTTTTCAACAGCTTAGTGGGGTTCTTCCCCCGCACATTTCTTTTGAGATAGAATCTTGCTCTGTCACCCAGGCTGGACTGCAGTGGCGCTATCCCAGCTCACTGCAACACCTGCCTTCCAGATTCAAATGATTCTCCTGCCTCAGCCACCCAAGTAGCTGGCATTACAGCCATGCGCCACCATACCTGACTAATTTTTTTTTTCTAGTTTTAGTAGAGATGGGGTTTCTCTATGTTGGCCAGGCTTGTCTCGAGCTCCTAGCCTCAAATGACCCACCTGCCTTAGCCTCCCAAAGTGCTGGGATTACAGGCATGAGCCACCATTCTGGGCTGCTTCATGTTTTTAAAAGCATTTTTAAAATATTTATTACCCAGTTGATTTCTACAACAAACTTGTGATAATGACAGCAATGATGTTGGAGATGATGATGATCATGACACAGCCTTGGAAGGTAAGCAGGAGGAGGCAGCAGAACCTCTGAAAATATTGAAACTCTCATGTAACCTAAGACATCTTATGCAACAAACTTCAAGTTAAAATTATAGCTAACATTGAAATTCCACATAATGCTGGGCAATATGCCAAGTAGTTTACATATTTAATATAATCTTTACAAAAACTCTAGAGCATACATATAAGCAGTTCAACTTTACAGGTTAAAATTAAATTTTCAAAAGATGGGAACCTCTCCATGATTTTCCAAAATCAGGATGTAAGGGAGCCAGGATTTGAATCCAAGTATAATTTATTCCAAAGTCCATGTGCTTTCTTCTACAACACACCATAGTGCCTAAACTTGGGAATTTGCTTGGCAAGTTCTCTTTTCCCCTACTGGTAAGAGAAAACTATAAAAGGACCATGAACTATCTCAAGACTTCCCCACAGCAGATAACATGTGAGCCATACCATCCCTGATTTGCTTGGTCTTTGCTCCATAGATGATGGGGTTAAGCATGGGGGGAACTAACACATAGAGATTTGCCAGAAGTATGTGGACACGATGGGGGATATTCTTTCCAAAGCGGTGAGTCAGGAAAGTAAAAAAAGACGGGATGAAGAAGAGGAGAATAACTCCAATGTGAGAACCACAGGTGTTGAGAGCTTTGTGCCGGGCATCCTGGGAAGGAAGTCTAAACACAGCTTGGAGGATCAAAGTGTAGGAAACACCAATAAGTGCAACATCTACCAAAACCGATGCCATTGGCACTGAAAAGCCATAGCAGATATTGACAGTTATGTCAGCACAAGCCAATCGGGCCACCCCAATGTGCTCGCAGTATGAGTGGGGGATGACATTGGTCCGACAGTATGGCAGCCTCTTCAACAGGAATATGATAGGAAAAATTGTCCCAATGCTTCGTCCCCAGATGGCCAAGGTCATTTTTCCAATTACCATAGGAGTTAAGATGGTAGTGTATCTCAAGGGAGCACAAATGGCCACATAACAGTCAAATGCCATGGCCAGCAGGATTCCTGACTCAGCCACAAAGGCAACATGAATGAAAAACATCTGAGTAACGCAGGCATCAAAGGCTATCTCCCTAGCATGGACCCAGAAGATAGCCAAGGCCTTGGGCACAGTGGTGGTGGACAGCAGGATGTCAGTGCCAGCCAGCATGGATAAGAAGACATACATGGGTTCATGGAGGGTGCGTTCACTGAGGACAACAAGGATGGGGGCGCCATTTCCCAAGACTGCAGTGAGGTACATAAGGCAGAAAGGAATGGAAAGCCAGGTGTGCTATTGCTCCAGTCCTGGGATACCAAGGAGAATGAACAGAGTGGGATGGAAGGTGGTGAGATTAGTACCAAACATGCCTTCTTTCAGAGTCTCTCTATGAAAACTAAAGAACAGGAATGTCGGTAAGCAGAGCCAGTTACAATTTCCATGATTAGTTGAACATTAGACCATGCAATCAATCACTAATGCCTTGACTGAGAGTATATAATGTTATTCTTCCACTTCTCACATTATCATTGTAGATACAAATATAAACACAGGTTTCTGATCACATCTCAGCAATATCTAGAACCTATACATACCTCCCCATTCTCATTGGCATGTTGCTGCTCAGGCTTTGATCATCATTCACCTGTTCTGCTGCAACAGTGTCCTAAACTAATCTGGTCTCCCTGTCTCCCAGCTTCCCAACCTCAACTCCTTCACATTCGTCAGCTATGTTGCAGTCTGGGTGGTATCCTCAAAACAAAAATCTTACTGTTTTCTCTTGTAATCCTTATGTGATTATTTATTGACTTATAAAGTCCAAAGTTCTCAAGCATGCAAAGCCCTCCACAATCCCACTGTTATTTTATTCTCCAGCTTTAATTGCCTTTAGACCTAATAAAGCTAAATTAGATTGCTTACGCTAACTATTCTCCACACAAAACCTGAGTTTCTAATTTTCATGACCTTTCTCAAGTTTTTATCCTAACCTGGAACATATTTTTCTATCTTTAGTGTTTGCTAAAATCCTATTGATATTCTAATTCACAGCTTAAATATTTATGACCAGGGAAGCCATTCCTAGGTTCAAATCCTAGGCTTCTGATTTTCTGATTATTGACAAAAAAGATTTTTTCACATCTCAGAAATTTAGCCTGATCTATGAAATTGAACCATCCATACTTATTTTGCAAGAATTAATTTAAATACTTTCTGTAAACTGCCCAGCATAGTGCCTGTAAGAGAAACACTAAACAAATGCTAGTTATTGCTATTACATGGATCAGTACAACTTAATAGACATGTTAGAAACCAATAAAAATATATTTAGAATTCAAGATGTGATAAAGTAGCATTCAATTTAGTGGGGGAAAGGAAAGCCTATTCGGTTAATGGCTTTGGGATATTGGACTATTATTATTTTTGTAAAAGAATAAAATTAGTTCCCACTTCACTCACTAAACAGATAGATATTCCAGATTAATTAAAGATGTACATTTTTAAGATAAAACTATAAAAATACTTTTTAAACTTAAATGAGGATCTGAATCATAAACATGATAAAATGTTTTGAGGGTTGGAAAAATCTGACTAAGATAAGAAAACCAAATTTCATAGAGAGTAGTCACTGGATGATGCAATTATGTAAAGTGTAGTCAAGAATAAATAACAATTCTAGGAGAAAAAAACACAAAACATGTAATATACAAAAGGTTGTTATTCTTAAACACTAAAAGGTGGTATAATTGAAAAAGAAAAAATTAGAAAATGTGCAAAGAATCAAAACAGACAAGTCAATGCAAAAAACAGATGGCCAATATACATTTGAAAAGATGCTTGACCTTACAAAATTTCAAAAAATGAAAATTAGCATCATCTTGAAATATCATAATTCTCTTATCATATTGGAAAACATAAGGAAAATAGACCCCACTGCTGGTGGCAGGTAACTTAGTATAGTCATTTTGGAAAGTGATTTGACAATAGCTATTAAGAATTCTAATTGTTCAAATTATTTAATCCGATAATGTCACTTTTGGCATCTACCTGCTGAAATTACAGCATAAGAACATATAGCTATATCTATAAGGATGTTCTTTGGTACACTGTTGCAACAGCAAAAGAAACTGTTAAAACGTCCATATCCATCAATAGGACAAGAAATAAATTATGGCACCTGCATTACAATCAATGTTTTGTTTCCATTAAAAATTAAAAAGTACTGATCATGGCATATAGTTTGTTTATTTGAAACAGAGTCTCACTCTGTTGCCCAGGCTAGATAGAGTACAGTGGCATGATCTTGGCTCACTGCAACCTCTACTGCCTGGGTTCAAGCATTTCTCCTGTCTCAGCCTCTTGAGCTGGGACTACAGGTGCACACCACCAGGCCTGGCTAATTTTTGAATTTTTAGTAGAGACAGGGTTTGGCCATGCTGGCCAGGCTAGCCTTAAACTCCTGGCCTTAAGTGATCTGCACACCTTGGCCTCCCAAAGTGCTAGGATTACAGGCATGAGGCACCGTGCCCAGAAGCCTGTAGTTAAGTTTTGAAAAGCAAATTGAAGATTAAAACGTGTAAGATAATTCTTTTTTCTGTCTATCAAGACACTTTGTATTATAAATAACAGAAAATCCAACTTGAATTTGGCCTACAACAAAGGGGATGTCTTTGTGCGGGATCAGTCAGAGTGGTAGGAAAAACTATAGGGAAAGGATGCAAACCTGAAAGGTCGGAAGGTTCTGCAGAGCCCCAGGGAAGAACAGCTGAAGGCAACTGTTTTATAACCCTGAGCAGAGGGCAAGGAGTGGGTAGGTACAAGGAAGAGTAGGGGAATTTATCTTAAACAGGTTTGTTTACTTATGTTGTCCAAGAACTGACCTTTGATCATCTGCACCCTGAAGTTCCCTGAAACGGGAAAAATAAATGCTAATTACCTACAGGTTGTGTTTGCTCCAGGCTTTCAGCATTATGCCTGCACTTAATAAAAGCAAGTAGCTCCAGAGCTGCTCTCTGGCCACTAGAGCCAGACAGTCACCCAGCTGCCCTAACAGCACATACCTGTATCTGAGTACTCATTGCATCTATAGGCCAGGGTCTGCAGGACAGACCCAGCATGGCTTTACCCTGTAACTGAAAAATATGACTCTAGTATTAGGTTTATCTAAAGATTCAAGACATCACTGGGGACTCCATTTCTCTGTAACTCTGTCAGCCTTTCAGGTGTTGACTGTCCTAGGACAAGAAATAAGGTGAGATGAGTGAGACACTTACCTTGAATGCAAAATTTAAGTGAGTACCAAAAAACATAGTAAGCAAGATAAATATTTTAGTATGTTTGTAAATGAAAATTAACGCAAAAAAAATTCACAATGAACATAATATCAAAATTTTAAATAACGATAGGATCTGACAGTGCTATATACTGAGCTATTGTTTGGAGTCTGAAGCACTTATAAATGTTTTTGTGTATTATTAATGGCTAATTTGTTTCAATAATTTTATTTTGAATATATTCATGATTTTTTCATTAAAGCCAGTAAAAATTTTTAAAATTCTAATTTGTATATAAATAAAATATTTAAACTTATACTAATGTGAGTTTTAATATACTTACTTTTAAATATTTCAATATATTCAAACTACTTTAATATTCCAGGAAAAACTAACCCTAGTTCCAGCCCTGCATAGGAGAAATGTCTGCAGGAGTTCAAGATGTCAAGATGCACACAATAGATAGCGTGTACACTGTCCAGAGGAATTGTGAAGATCTTGTCTGAATCAACAGTTCATTGGATTTATTTCAGGAAAACCTAAAAATCCCAGGAACCAAACATTTATTCCCTGCCACAAAACTTACCCCAGTTGAAGAGAAAGTTATTCTCCAACATAGGGAAGGAGCTGCCAGATGCACACTCTGGAGTGAAACAGGGCAGTACCTCATCCTCAGGAATCCCTGGAGTGAGGAGACAGCTTCTACCCTACTAGGTCTTTAGGGAGTGTTTAGTTTACCTAGACAGAAGCAGACCCCAGCAGAACCAGTCTCCAGTGATCACTGCCTCAGGAACCACAGAGGATGGGTAATCCTTCCTGCAGCACTCCATTCATACTGTGTTTTTAATGACTCCATATCTCTGAGTAACATATAAACACAAAATGGATTAGAGTTGCTACTAGTTAATACACAGACTATTAGAGCCCAAGCTATACCTGCTAGACTTCAATATACATATAAACATGTGGAGAGATAGAAGAAATAGCAGGTCAAAAGGAGCTAAGTGTATGGGTGTGTGTGTGTAAATGATTCCAGTTATAAAACTAGATAATATTTAACAAGGGTTCAGAGGTCAACAACCTCACCAACATTTCAATCCATAAATATACATATGGATGCTCTATACTAGATATTGGAACTATAATGATGAGGAAGACATATTCTCTGCCCTCACAGAACTCAAGTTTTGGTGGTTTCATAAATAGAACCATTAACATTTAGTTGAGATGATAAATGTCATTGGTGTGGAGAACGAGAAGATAAGGTGATTACCTCTGATTTGGGGGGATCAGTGAAGACTTCAAAGAAGAATCGATACCAGTACTATACCCCTTGCCATATGAGTGACCTTGACTACTTATCCTCTCTTTGCCTTGAGTATTTCTGTGTACTAATCAGAGATAATAGGAGCACTATCTAATGGGGTTGTATGATAATTAAATGAGATAATGCAGCAGAGAACTGAACATGGTTTCTAGCATAGAGTCATCTCTTAATAAGCATGAGTTGTTGAGAGGAGAAGACCAAGATGGTCAAGCAGAAGCCTCCACTGAGTGTCCCCCAAAAGGAACACCAGATTTAACAACTATTTACACACAAAAACACAGCTTCATAAGAACCAAATATCAGGTGAACAATCACAGTGCCTGGTTTTAACTTTGTATCATTGAAAGAGGCGCTAAAGAGGGTAGAAAAAAACGGTCTTGAATCACTGATGCCACCCCTCCCCAACCTCCCAGCAGTGGCAACGTGACACAGATAATCTGTATACTTCTGGGAGAAGGAGCACACTGATTGTGGGATTTTACATTGGGACTCAGTGCTGCCCTGTCATAGCAGAAAGCAAAACTAGGCTGAACTCAGCCAACATCCACAGAGGGAGCATTTAGATAAGCCCTAGCCATAGCTGAATTGCCCATGTCAGCAACTGGAAATTGAGTTTCAGCAAGTTTCACCACAAGCTAAAGCTCTCTGGGGTCCTAAATAAACTTGAAAGGCAGTCTAGGGCACAAGGACTGCAACTCATAGGCAAGTTCTAGTGCTGTGCTGGGCTCAGAGCTACTGGAAATGAGAGGCATGAAATCTAGTGAGATACCAGCTGAGGTGATTAAGGGAATGTTCATGCCACCCCAAGTCCAGGCAGCACAGCTCACAGAAATGAAAGTGCCTCCCTTCTGCTTGAGGAGAGGAGAGGGAAGTGTAAAGAGGACTTTGTCTTGCAACTTGGA